CAACGATAGATTGATTGTTTTCTCCTTTTCAAGTTTTTGTAGGTAATCTGTGACTTTCTTTTTATATGTGCTAATTGGGTCCCTCTTCAGAGTCTCGTAGGTGTTGCTGTCACTCTGTAGTGTAGATCAGGAGGTTGTCGCCAACATAAATTTTCAGCACCAGTGGGTTAGAAATTTGTCTAACAGGACCTTGACACAACCTGAGAAAGATGTTTTGGCAAAAACACTAAACTTTGCCATCTCCCCACAAGAAATACCTGTTGTGGAACTAATCACGGCCACTGAATCTGCTATTAGGAACAACAACTTGACGGAAGCAGAGGCAGAACAACTCAGAATGAAAATATCAGCAATCCTCTCCAGTGCCAAACCGCCTCCTTCAAATCTCAACTCACAGGAAAGGAAAGCTGTAACATTACTCAGCCAGGACCAAAACATCACCATTTTACCAGCTGGCAAAGGAAGATGCACAGTAGTCATCAACACTTCTGATTACCAGGAAAAATATCTACACTACAGAGCGACAGCAACATGTACGAGAGTCTGAAGAGGGACCCAACTAGCACATATAAAAAGAAAGTCACAGATTATCTACAAAAACTTGAAAAGGAGAAAACACTCAATCGATCTTTGTATTATAGATTGTACCCAGGGGAAGCCACTCCCTGTCTTTATGGACTTCCAAAAATCCACAAAGAAGGAATACCACTCAGACCCATCGTCAGCAGCATGAACTCAGTGACATACAATATTGTTAAACATCTGGCTGGTATTTTAGCTCCTCTTGTTGGAAACACACCTCATCACATAAAAAATCCATTGATTTTGCTAACAACGTTCAACATTTGAAACTAACCGCAGGAGAAACCCTTGTATCGTAAAATGTGACTTCTCTTTTCACTTGCTTTGTGTTTTGAGTTTAAAATGATAAACAGGAGGGAAGCTAAAGGTTTTTGAAGGTCTTATGCATCTTATCATATTAAACTTTATTTTTATGAGTTCAAGCTTTAAAGTTCATCATGTACTTCTTCCTGTGTTTTTGTCGTGCGTGCAGATCTATCCTCAGCAAGTCTGTACAAACTTAAATTATCAGAAACTGTCTCTGTTTTGCTGATGTAAGATATTCCATGCAAGCCTTATCGCGCAACACCAGATGCTCTGTAAAAACTGCCACTTGCTTTGATTTTATTCCATTCCTACTTGCCTCAATAAAAGACGAGCTCAGACAGCAGGAAGTTGGCGTTCACTCTGACCACAAGTCAGATGAGCTTCCCTCTTTGCAAAGAGCCAACTGAAATCTCACTCCGTTTGTCCTGTGTGAAATTTTTCTTTAAGGTTTAC